AAAAAAAAAAAAAAAAATTATTCATTAAATTGCAACTGTTAGCAAGGAAATTTTTTTTTTTTTTTTTTAGATACTGTTAACTGCCTATTGAACAGTTGGTTAATATGAAGCAAAGTTTTGCTTATAAAAAATTAGAATCTATTCTATAAAATGATAGAGAAGAAAAATTTGAATTATTTGAAAAAAAAAATATATTGTTGGCAAATAACTATTGTTTTTTGTTGACGACTAAAAATTTTTTCTTCTTTCTCAGTTCTCAAGTGTTTTTTTTTTTCTTGCAGTTGTTTATTAATGCTATAAGAGTGGAATATTTTTATCTGTTTAATGCTTTTTAAAATAAACACTACTTTAAAGATACTCGTATCCTATTTTTTTCACATTTTTCTTTTTGTTGCTCCATTTTTTTCTTCATGCTTTTGTTGCTGCTATTCCAATTGTATTATTAGATTTTTTTTTTGCTGCTGTCGTTGTTGTTTTAAATGTGTGCTTATAGAAATTTCTAGTTATTCTGTGCCTCAGATCACAGAGACTGTGCAATACAACTGAGTATTGTTGTTTAATGGTTTTTTTTTCCTTTTTTTGTTGGTTTTTTACAAATATGCTAAATTATTTCAGTTTTTTTATTACCATTAATTTTTCTGCTTTTAATGTTTACTTCATTTTTTTTTTCTTTCATTTTTGTTTTCAGTTTGGCGATACGTCATTGTCGACAATCAGCAGATGCGAACTTGCTGAAGAAAGAAACTTTGTTCGACGAAATAAGCACTTTGTATTAGCGATAACAATTCTGAATATAGCAACATTGTTTTTTCCGTTTATTACACTCGTTTTTCTCAATGGTGCAATTGTGTTTATGCTTAAAAAGCGTAACATTCAGGTAAAAAAAAAAAATAAGTGAAGAAGGAAACAACAACAACAACTAATTGTAATAAAAAATTTTAACAATTTTTTTTTTATTGTTTCCTAATTTATAATTTAATCATTTGGTATAAATACGCAAAATGCACAAAAATAAAAGAACTTTTTCCGTACTTATTTTTGCTTTTTTGCCTTTTTTTTTTTCTTTTTTTTTTGTGATCAACAAATTTTTTTATGCGCTTTCTCTTCTTTTGTTTTGAAAAATCTTCACGTCAAGAAGTCTGATCTTTGTTCAAAGCCAAAAAAAACCTAATTATCTTTTCTTTTCTACAGAGAGCAAAATAAGCTAAGAAACAGATGAGAAAAATTAGGTGAGCAGATCAGAGAAAAGAAGAAAAAAGTTGGAAAAAATCAATTTGACAAATCATTGTTTATTAATGACGAAAAGAAACATGAAGAAGATAAGCGGGAGGGATTCGGGGGTTTGGGGGGAGGGGGGGAGGGAGGGGACGGAGGGAGAATGGGTAAAGGAGGAAAGGGAGGAAAACTGGGGGGGGGGACACAGAATTAAACCGGTCAGAAAGCAGAAATAAGTCTGTTTTCGCTATTTTTGTTTCCTTTCTTATTTGATTATATTTTACTTTGGTGGAGTTGCGAGTATCTTAGATAAGACAAAAAAAATAAATAAATTTTTTTTTGACATAAAAAATTGAAATATTTTTCATTGCGATACAATAGATTTTAATTTTTTTTCTTGGCAACTACTACCACTGCTACTGCTATTTGCTATTGCTTTTATTATGATGCTGATGCCGTTGTTGGTTACAAAATCAATAAGTATTTATGAATAATTTATTACCATTAAAATGTTCAAGTGAAATATCAAGAGAAACAAAAAAAAGAAAAAAATAAATAAATTGGTTTTCTCTCTATTTTTTTAATCAGTATTTGTTGCTTTTTTTTTTTGCTATATTTTTTTGGTTTTCAGTTGTTGTTAGCTGTTGTTTTTGATAGCGCCAGCGACTGAGATGGCAATAACGGCACTGATGGCATTGATCGTGACAGTGTTGTCTGATAATGCTTTTTTTGCTAGGTTTTACTAACTTTTTTTTTTTTGGTATAAATATTGGTGATACTGCTAAGCTTTGTGGCGAGTTGGGAAAGAGTGAAAAAAAATAGAAGAAAAGAAGGTAACCATAAAAATTCTGATTAGAACTTAACAAGGAGACACCAACAAAACTGAGGTATTTTATTAACCTTGCGATATTTATGTGTAATCAGCCATTTCTTCGTTTCACCCTTATTCGTCATTCCGCCGCTCCACCAATTTTTTGTGCATCCCAATCACTTTTCTTCCTACTTGACAATTCTTTTTGCCATTTATTGCTCACCCAGTTTCTTCTTCTTAATCTTTTTTTTTTTCTCAATTTTTCGCAGATATAATTAAAAAATCAAAACTGCAGCAATTTTTTTTAGGTAACTTTTTATGGCATTATCGCAGGAGAAACTTTTATTTTTCAAAAGCAATTCATCTTTTGTTTGTGTGCGTCTTATTTATTTTGTAAAAAAATAATCTTTTTTAGTGAATAAAAAAAAAAATATATTTTTTTTGCAGCAGAAAATAAAAGAAAAAAGATAAAGAACTGAAAAAAAGAAAAGAAATAAAACAAAAACCGTTTCAAACTCAAATAATTATTGCTTTTTGCTTCTGTTATATTTCACTTTAGTTTCG